TTCTGTTCGAAAATACACCCAAACAATTTCTGAAACTACCATTTCTGTTGTTCCCCATTGCCCACCAGATAAAGTCAAACTTGTCAACAGCATTCAACTCCCTAGAAGATCTGGCCCCAGCAGGTGTCTCAGTGTCCTCCCGTGCTCTCATGGCCCCGTGCCGCCCAGGTGCACTCTCACTCTGTCTGTCACTGCCTCACCTCCAGGACCATTCCCCTTTACTGACTGGTCAGTCCCCCCCCGCCCAATCACATACTGTCTCCTACTCAAGTATTACCTTCAAGATCGGCCCCCTCCTTGTAGCTCTGTCCTGACACTTTGCTCACTTCAACATCACATCGTTCCTTTGTTATGAGGCTTGGTCTCCCCCAACAGACTGTCAGCTCCTTCAGGATGGTGATTTCATGTTGGTCATCCTCTTTCCCCAGTTTTTATTTCTCAACTCCAGACCTCTACTGTGTATTGTACAGGAACTCCTAGCCACATGTGGATGTCTAAATGTGGACTGGATTTTAAATTAATTAAAATTAAAATGTGGCACTAACAGCCACATTCAGCTGGGACCGATGCATCAGACAGCACAGATATGAATATTTCCCACATTGCAGAAAGTTCTAGACAGTAATACAGAGCTGGCATTGGGGTGAACCATCTGGTAAAAGGAGAAGTGGTGTGGGCAGTCAGGACATATGGATTCTCAAGCTGGCCCCATCCCCAGGCCTGTGAACTTTTTTGTTTGTTTGTTTGTTTTTCGTTTTTTTTGAGATAGAGTCTCACTCTGTCACCTAGGCTGGAGTGCAATGGCATGATCTCAGCTCACTGCAGCCTCCACCTTCCAGGTTCAAGCAATTCTCCTGCCTGCCTCAGCCTCCCAAGTAGCTGAGACTACAGGCATGTGCCACAACGCCTGGCTAATTTTTGCATTTTCAGTAGAGACGGGATTTCACCACGTTGCCCAGGCTGGTCTCAAACTCTTGACCTCAGGTGATTCGCCCACCTTGGCCTCCCAAAGTGCTGGAATTACAGGTATGAGCCCCTGCACCCAGCTGAGGCCTGTGACCTTTAAGGATGATCTAATGTCACTCAGACTAAATCTCTTTGTCTACAAAGATGAGGTAGTAAGAACTGCCCCAGCCCCTTCATTGGATTACTTTAGAGTATCCATGAGAAAAAAAATCTATAAAGCACTTTGAAAACTATAAGACAAAATGCTGGCCGGGCGCGGTGGCTCAAGCCTATAATCCCAGCACTTTGGGAGGCTGAGGCGAGCAGATCATGGGGTCACGAGATGGAGACCATCCTGGCTAACATGGTGAAACCCCGTCTCTACTAAAAAATACAAAAACACTAGCCGGGCGAGGTAGCGGGCGCCTGTAGTCCCAGCTACT